TCCATAGGGTTTTCTTTTCTTCTTCTCTTTTTATTGTGGTAAAAATACGCATAACAAAACATTTGCCAGTTCGACAATTTTTTTTTTCTGTTTCAAAGATGTTTTATTTTTCATTATTAGCATTTATGTGGGAGCAAAGTGCACCTTAGACATAGACCTTTATCAGGGTTCTGGGAGAAGGATTTGTATGAAGCGTTTGTCAGGGGGAGATGCACAATACCAGTTAATTTAGTCCGGGTGTGGAGAAGGTTAATTCGAAAAGTCTAAACTGCATGACTTTGAAAAGACCTGCAATGAAATTGCTTTCTAACCCAAGGAGTGCTTCAAGTCAGATGGCCACGAGTTTTGCTAAGTGGAAATCCTGTGGAACTCACTTCAGTGAATTGATAAAATTTGTAGCCTTCACATTCTGTTAGTTTGCTTTTAGGGGCTGGTAAAGTACCAGGGAAAATGTTGTTCTCAAGTTAAATAATACTCATGTTACCCTGTTTGTATGTATGATCGGACGGTCTTTTCTCTCAGGTCTGGAAAGTGGTAAACTTGAGCCAGTTTAGGTTTTGTGAACCTAGATTTCAAACCAAAGGGCTCCCGGTGCTATTTCTTCCCTCTATCTATCTATCTATCATCTCTTTACTTTTTTTCCCCCTGAATTTTATTTATTTTATTGTTGTTGTTGTTGAGAATATACACAGCAAAACATGCACCAGTTCAACAGTTTCTACATGTACAATTGAGTGACACTGATTACATTCTTCAAGCTGTGCAACCATTCTCACCCTCCTTTTCGGAGTTATTCCTCCTCCATTAACATAAACTCACTGCCCCTTAAGGTTCCTGTCTAATCTTCCTGGTTGCTGTTGTCAGTTTGATCCCATATAGACGGTTCTTAAAAGAGCATAATGCTCAAGGCAGGCCTTTTTAAAGTTAAGCTAAACTATTGTTGGATTTAATATGACTTCAGGGCATATTTTCGGTTTAAGATTTAAAGATTATCTGAGGGCAATAGTTTCTGGGGTTCATCTACCCTCTATGGTTCCAGAAAGTCTAGAGTCCATGAGAATTTGAAATTCCATTCTGCATTTTCCCTCTTTTGATCGGGATTAGGCTATGGACTGTTTGATAAAAACGTTCAGTAACGGTAGCCAGGCACCATCCAGTTCTTCTGGTCTCATGCCAAAGGAGGTAGTTGTTTATGGAGGCAATTAGCCACATACCCATTTCCTCCTCCTATTCCTCACTCTCCTTTTTCCTTTGTTGCTCCAGGTGAATAGACACCAATTGCTATGCCTTAGATGTCCTCTTGCAAGCTTTTAAGACTCCAGGCACTACGCGGCTAAGGACAAGTATAATTCAGTGACATTGACTACATTCTTTGTGTTGTGCAACCATCACCACTATCCTTTCCCAAATTCCATAGGATTTTCAAGAGCTGTTTTTTCAGAAGTAGATTGACATGCTTTTCTTCTGAGGTGCCTCTGGGTGGATTTGAACCTCCAACCTTTCAGTTTGCAGCCAAGTGCTTAACTGTCTGCACCACTCAGGGACTCGAAGGCCAGTACCAACCAAAGGAAAAAGGAAGCAAAAGGATACTTAATAAGGTTGGGGGTGCTCCAGCCATTTAAATTCAGACACGTAGTAGGAAAACTAAACTCAGTGTTCTTCAGGTTAAGGCAGGACGCCCTTATCCCAGGAGGCCTGGAGGCTGGAAAGAGGAGAAACCTCAGGCATGGAGATCAGAAAGTCAGGGTAGGAATCCTGCCTGCTGGTCCCTTTGCAGGTGTAAAAGTGACATCACTGTTGTACAACAACCTCCTTTCCAAGGATGTGGTGAGGGTTAGATACAACACATGTAAAACGTATAGGTTGGCACACAGTAGACCCTCAGTAATTTCAGTAGACAGTACACCAACATTACAGGTTTGTAATGTGCTCTCTGGGTCCAGCACTAGACAGGAGCCTTGACTTGGTATCTACTTCTTCTGTTGATAAGATTTATTAAGTGCTTACGATATGCAAGGAGGAAACCCTGGTAGCATACTGGTTAAGAGTTCGGCTGCTAACCAAAAGGTTGGCAGTTCGAATCCACCAGGTGCTCCTTGGAAACTCTATGGGGCTGTTCTACCCTGTCCTATAGGGTTGCTATGAGTTGGAATTGACTCGGCGGCAATGGGTTTGGTTTTGGTTTTATACGCCAGGAAGGAGCCCTGGTGGTGCAACGTTTAAAATGCTCAGCTGCTAACCAAAAGGTTGACAGTTTGAGCCCACTAGTTGCTCCTCAGGAGAAAGGTGTGACAGTCTGCTTCTGTGAAGATTACAGCCTTGGAAACTCTATGGGGCAGTTCTACTCTGTCCTATAGGGTTGCTATGAGTTGGAATTGGCTTGACGGCGAAGAGTTTGGTTTGGTATATGCCAAGGAGCCCTGGTGGCACAGGGATTAAGTGCTTGGCTGCTAACCGAAAGGTTGGTGGTTCTAACCCACCAGCTGCTCCATGGGAGAAAGATGTGGCAGTCTGCTTCCGCAAAGATTCCAAACCCATTGCCTTGGAAATCCTATGGGGCAGTTCTACCCTGTCCTTTAAGGTTGCTGTTAAGTCAGAATCAACTTGACAGCAGAGGGTTTAGAGTTTTGGGTTTTACTATATGCCAGGCACTGCTTTAAGTGCTTTACATATATTAGCATATATAATACTCAGAACAGCCCTATGAAGTCGATGCTATCCTTATCCCCATTTTACAGATGAGGAAACTAAGGCCCAGAGGGGTTAAGTAACTTATCCAACCAAGTTAGTAGGTTGTAAAACTGGAGTTTGAACCCATGCAATCAGGCTCCACAAGCAGTGATCTTGATCATTATAATGTCAATAGTATTACCAAAAGATTGGTGATTTGAACCCACCCAGCAGCTCTGTGGGAGAAAGATCTGGCGATCTGCTTCTGTAAGGATTATAGCTGAGAAAACTCTCTGAGGGTAGTTCCACTTTGTTCTATAGGGTCGCTATGAGTCAGAATTGAGTCACTGGTACCCAACAACAGTATTAAAATCCGAATAATGGTAATTGAGAGCAAACTATGTGTCAAGCACTGCTACTGGCAAGGTGACAATGAAGCCTATGTATCTGAATGTACTGGGGGGAAGGGTCCAGCAGGGTTGTCTGAGACAGAGATCCGTTAATTGCAGAAGGTGACACCCCTACTTGAAATGTGGGAGAGAGGAGTGGAGGAGGGGGTTGTAGTTAAGAGTGGGACAGAGTGAGCCCAAAGGATTAATGGACCATATGAATCGGAGCCTCCACCAGCCTAAGCCCAGAAGAAGTAGATGGTGCCTGGCTACCACTACCGACTGTTTTGACAGAGATCACAATAGAGGGTCCCGGACAGAGCAGGAGAAAAATGTAGAACAAAATTCAAATTCACAAAAACAGATCAGACTTTACAGGTCTGACAGAGATTGGAGGAACCCCTTGACACTATAGCCCCCGGACACCCTGCTAACTCAGAACTGAAGCCACGCTGGAAATCCACCTTTTACCCAAAGATTAGACAAGCCTATAAAACAAACAATAACACATGAGTAACATGCTTCTTCCTTCAATTAAGTATACGAAACCAAATGGGCAACACCTGCCCAAAAGCCAAGACGAGAAGGCAAGAAGGGCAGGAAAACTAGACTAATGGACAGGGAGAACCCAGAGTGGAAAGGGAAAGGGGGAGAGTGCTGACATATTGCAGGGATTGCAACCCATGTCACAAAACAATTTGTGTATAAATTTTTGAATGAAAAACGAATTTGCACTGTAAACTTTCACCTAAAACACAATAAAATAAAATAAAGAGTTGGTCAGAGTGGTCGAGGGGAAAACTATCTTCTGCAGCTGTGATATGCAGCTCCATACAGCCTTTCTATTCATGTGGTTTTCAAAGCCAGACCTTTTCCTATTACTGAGCGAATCAGACATGGGTCTACAGCGTTTTGCACATGTCTTCCTTCACCCGCCTCCACCCCAGCATTTTTCTTTCGTTGTGTTTGTGCTTCAAATAGCCAGTTCAAGGGTTAAGGGGACAGGCCAGAGTTACCTACATTTCAAGGTCTTTTAAAGCTGCTCATTTGATTCTGCCCCACCCCCTCGCCCATGTGATGTTAATATGAGTGATGCTGGCTGTGCAGCTAGGCTGTGGTGCCATGAAAATAAACCACCAGGCTCCACATCAACCTGGCACATTTGTGCTCTTTCCAGGTTAAACCTCCCAACAGGGCTCTCTGCAGTGATATCAACACCCGATGCCCTCGGTGGGTCTCAAAAACATCAGCGGTCCAGCCCCGGGCAGTCAGCAATCTCCATAAACGGAGGATTCAATATATAGAAGCTCTAAGGCCATTTCCGTTTTTTTTTTTTTTTTCAACTGCAAAGCAATCCACTTTCCCAGCATCCTGCAACTTTATCGAACTCGCATCGCACTGCAAGAAACACCCGCACCCCCGCCCCCGGACTCTCCTTAATGACATATTTGGCTATTTGCAATCGTGACTTGCAGTCCTGACATCGCAGAATGGGTCTCTTCTCAGAAGACTGCAGCAACAGCAGCTTTCCAGCTCTACTGAGCGCTCACTATATGTCGGGCACCGTGCTAGGCGTGCGGCCGTGCAAGCGTGCTACCCCGGGGATCCGGGGGTGCACACTCCGTTCCGGGAGCTCGAAGCCATTGTAGGGTGGGCCCTCTCCGCGCAGCTCCGGGCGGTCGGGGAGGAGGGGGCTCTCTGTGTGTCCTCCGCTGGGGGCGGAACCTTCCTCACGCCGCCCGCCGGCCAGCTTCTTTCTGCAGAGGGCGCCCCCAGCCTCCCGGGCGCGCGCCGTCAGCCCCGCCCGCAGCAGCCCCGCCC